GTAACAAAACATAATTAATTCTTTATGAAACATTTAATATTTCATATTTACCATAATAATCAGAATCATTTTCTACCCGAAAATCACAACCAAATTCTTTAAAGGCTTTCACGAAATTGCTTCCATTATCGGTAATTGTTGATACCACTTGTTCACACCGTAGAGAAATTTCACCCAAAATGTTATAAAGCATTTCAGCCACACGATCGTATGAATGTTTTCCGGTAAAACGGTTACATGCTAGTACACAGCTTTGTCGTTCTAATGTAATTGAACCAATCTATAAAAATCATTAAATTAACATATTATATACAATTATTATTGAATTAATACATAATATATGTTTATATTTTAAATACCCAGTGTGCTGTAACACCCATAAAACTGCGATGTTTGGTGGACCAAATATTAGCAGTTGTCGTGACCAACAACTAACTGTTTCATTTCAACAAATTTTTAATTGCGTTGTTTATTTTTATAGAATTAATTATCTATACGGCGACTAAGAGTTCTTCGAGAGTATATTGTAAGATCACAATCTAAATCTATGGAATAAAATAATATCGTATATTTTTCATTTCATGGAGTTACCTTTAAATATTTTTATGAAATTTTCATCTTCCATTGTAGACAGTGGTTTCATACCAAGAATAATGTAACGCATAATATTTTCGTCTAATTTTTTTTGTTTATGATCAGTACTTTTAAATTTAGTCAGTTTCCTTTGTTTTGTTGGAATTTGAGAATTATCATTTGATGTACTTGCTCTTTTACGTCCTCCGACTTTTAAGTATGCGTCATATGCTTCCAATTCTGACATATGCAATCTCTAAGAAATGTTATTAATTGTACAATATTGTTATTATTAAATAATATTATAAATTGCGAATTTTAATAACTAATTTTAATATTATATGTTATAAATTGGTTAATTGGTTAAAATTATAGACATAAAGTTTCCATATTTTAAATAGGTACTTACTTTCATATGTAGTCGAACATTTGATGTGGAATTTATTGCTCCTGAAATAATTCTGTTTTCTTTTTTTTCTCTTTACATGATACACACATAGCTTTTACATTAGAATTCACATTTATTATTTCATCAGAATTTAAAATCGTATAAAATTTGCCATCTTAGCATTTTGGAATATTAACAATTACAATTGCATTATTTTGGTTATGAATGTTTTTAATAACAGATATTTAGATATTAAATTAATATTTACAAATATTAAAACAATGTACAAAATATAATTTTTTCGTCACTTTGTCAATCTACACAAACACCACACAGATGTATAATACGCACGAGACAGACGAGCGCTTCCCCGCAGTAAGGCATTTGGCTGGCTTATCAAATAATAACGTTAACATAGAATTAAAAAAAATATAAATATATGTAAAATTCAGAATTTTCTAATTTTGATACATAGAAATGTATTATTTGTAATAGTTTGTATTGTATAATTTTTAGTTTCTTTAAGCCCCGTTCACACGATCAAATAATTTGTCAAATATTTGATGTATGTCAAACTTCAAATATTTTAGAAATAGTTCTAAAATATTTGGAGTTTGACGAATGTCAAATATTTGACAAATTATTTGATCGTGTGAACAGGGCTTTAGACCAGCGGTTCTCAAACTTTTTAAATTTGCGTACCACCAGCTACACCGTTTCCCAGTTACAAAAATTTCGGGAAACTCACTGTTCTCACAAGTTATGGCATATCAATGTTGCAGCGATTACGCGTGTATCGGCACTCGTCGCTACGCTCCTCGGCGCCGTCGCTCCGCTCCGCAAATCGAAAATATCCCCCTATTTGCTGTGTGAACTACCTCAGGTAAACCTCGGTTTTCCTCAATATTGTTTCTTGTTTCTAAGTATATTTATTCCCAGCGTGGTCACTCGCTCATCCATTCAAAAGTACCTATATTTTTTAATATAGACAACTTTGAATTGCCATAACTTTTGAAGTTTCCCGAAATTTTTTCAAATACTTGAATTAAGCTTAAAAAACCAATTTTATTATAATTATTATTTTTGGATAGGATCAGAAAAAATGTAACTGTTGTCGCAGATTAACTCTATGATAACGTTATTATATTATGATAAGCCAGCCAAATGCCTTACTGCGGGGAAGCGCTCGTCGAGACAGACAGAGAATATCTTAGATCATATACACTGGATAGAGCTATGATTTAAAATCTTGAAGCATAGCAGTTCGAGCCCAAAGTCATCATTGCGCATGCGAAAAACTGTTTTATGATAAGAGATTACTGATGAATACACAAAACAATATCCGTGTGACCGTGTGAAACTGTGAACTGTGAAGTGACTAGTGGCTTCGTCATTATTCATTATACATGTTATAATAATTTCTATTTTCCATTGAGTGTTTGAATTGAGTTCCTTTACTAAGACTGTGAAAATTAATAAAATTGGCAAAATGAATAAACTTAGCAAGACGCACAAATGTTGTGTCTAAAATCGCCAATTAAAGTACCTGGTCTTAAATTGCATCCATAAGCATGCTTTAGCATTATTATTTAGTTTTTACTTTTATGACTGCAGTGCCTAGATAGCTACTTATTATTATTAGTAAATAGTAATTAGTATTTTATGGTATTACATATGTTATTAGCTTATTTATTTTCATATATTTGGTAGTGTAGAATAAGTTGATACACTTTTTATTTTATTAATTTGTTTGAAACTAATTAATTAAAACATATTTAAATTTATAGATTTCCAAAAACTCAAGAAAAAAGAAATGTGTGGTTGAATGCTTGTGGGTTAAAAGCAGATGAGTATTTGCCATATGGAAAATTATGCTCCAGGCATTTTGACGAATCCTGTTACAACAAATCTGGTTTTCGATTAAAAGTAGATGCGATTCCTACAAAGCAATTAAAAGGGAAAATCATACAACAATTTTTTCCACTGTAAGTATCTCTACTCTTTATTTAGATTTATTTTTATACTATTTTTAAGTATTCATTATTTACGTAAAGTAGATTTGAAGACAAAACATTAGATTTAACATCAAAAAATGATGAATCGACTATACCTAACCTTCCATCTACTCCTGAACTGCTAACAACTCGGACAGTTTTAAGCATTCCGTCTACTTCTGAACTGCAATCAACTCAGACAGTTTTAATCATTCCGTCTACTCCTGAACTGCAAGGTAAATCATAAAGTTAATAATTATGTTATTTATAAATAATAAATATATTTTTGTTGTTGCAGAAACTCCAAAAAAACAAAAACGTTATGTTGGTGAATTAAAGTCACCTGACTTTGCTACACCTTGAAGAGCTAGGAAAAGTTGGAATTTAGCCAAGACTCAAATTAAAATACAACAAAATAAAATAAAAATTCTTACCCAAAAAGTTAGGAGCTTAAAAAATAAGTTATCATCATTAGAATTATTAATGAAACATTCAAAACAAAAAATCTTTTAACTGAAGAGGCTCATAATAACATTTTGGTAATTTTTGACAAGATTTTTACTTGATACTGTTCAATGGGGTAACTTTGATAATTTTTAACTGTTTTATTAGAGTTATACTTTTTATTTTATTTAAGTTATTAATCTTTATAACAGTGTTTCTATTTGGTGTTCCATGATATCAAAAAGGTTAAGAAACACTGCTTTATAAAATATTATCAAAGTTAAAAAATCCTAGTTCATTGTCATTTAATGTAATGTTTTTAAATATATTTTTTTTTTTTTTATTTTTTTTTTTTTATGTAGGATACAACAAATGATTCTGTTAAAGAAACTATAAATAGAGGTTTAAAAGCAAAGAATTCAAAGTATAGCCCAGCTATACGTAGTTTTGCCCTCACACTACAATTTTATTCTTCAAAAGCCTACTCTTTTGTGAGGAAAACCTTTAAAAATTTATTGCCCCACCCAGCAACAATACGTAAGTGGTATTGCGTAGTAAATGGGGAACCTGGGTTTACGAGTGAAGCTTTCCAAACAATAACTTTGCAAGTTTTAAATTCCAATGGACCAATTATTTGTAATATAGTAATAGATGAAATGGCTATTCGGAAGGTATCGTTTATGAATAATAAGTTTTATGGTTGTGTTGACTTAGGTACTGGTAATAATTTGTTGGGAGCACATAGTTAACTTACAAAACATTCAGGAAAGCAAAGGAGTTTATGCTGCGAATAAATTGAAAATCTCGCACATTAAATTTTATAAAAATATAATGAATGTACGTCTAGCTGCACAGACATTAAGTAAAAGTGTCAGTGATGGTTTACTGTTTTGTGAAAACTTGAATTTACTAACAGGCGTAAAAGGTACAGCTACATTTTGTTCATTATTTAATGATGCATTTGATTTATTAAACTGTAGGAACAAATTAAGTAAATGAAATTATAATTATTCACTTAACGACATAACACTCGGCCGTACTGAACAATTTTTAAGTGATTCAAAGATTTATATCGAAAACCTTAAGTTTGAAACAAATGATAAATACTCTAGAAGTGAATTTGTTTTGAAGAGTAATAGGAAAACTGGATTTTTAGGTATAATTATTTGTTTGGAAAATTTAATTAATCTATACAAGATAATAAACGGATAAGGTATGTCTTACATACTTAGCCACAAGTTTAGTCAAGATCATATCGAAATTTTTATTAGCGCAGTGCGAAGCCTCGGTGGTTTTAATAATAATCCCAATGCGGTGCAGTTTCGGGCAGCTTATAAACGACTCTTAATAAGACATGAAATACAAGGGTCAATGAATGGAAACTGCTTATTATTAGACAATTGTAGCATATTATTTGTTGGAACAAGTAAGCGTACAGATGCCAATGCAATAGTCACTAATAATAATAATGAGTTAAATGATAAACCTTTTTTTGATGATTTTGACCACGATTATTATTCCCAACGATTATTGTGTATGGAGGAATATGTTGTGGATATAGCCAAATATACAAGTGGTTTTATAGTCAGGAAAATCAAAAGATGAAAAATATATGTGATATATGTGATTCTCAACTTACAGAGACTGAAAATGAGGAAACTTCCTCTCTTTTAAAATTAAAAAACCGTGGAATGTTATTAAATGCATCAAAAAGTGTAAGAAATATATGTATAACTGCAGAATATATTTTTAGAATGGAACACGGTAATATTTTAACTAATAAAACTATTTTGAACAAAATATGTATGAAAACCATGAACGAGATTGGGCAAGATTCATCAATTTTCAATTCTGACACAATGATAGATCATATTAAAAATCAAGACATTTTTGATAACCATAGAAATCAATTAATGAAGCTAATTAAAGAGTACTATACAAGATTACGATTACATCACTTTAGTAGGATGCATACATTAAACATTGAAGGAAATAACATCAGAAGAAAATTTCAAAATTAATATTATTTAAAAACCAATAATAAAAAATATTTTAAGCTGTATTATAATTTTTGTAAAAATTATGTAAACAATTGCATTTAAGTATGATTAAATATTTACATTGTAATAATTAAATAATATATAAAAGTAAGTTTGTATAAAATATTTCATTTTTTTTTTTTCACTTCAAATTCAAAATTTGCTAAGAAATATCAGTATTCAGTACCTAATGCCCTAATCACAAATTACTAGTTCTTACCCCGTCCCGCCCGATCTATTTCATTTCTGACGCATGCGCAATAAGTACATCGGAGGTCCATGTTACTGGCACCGCCCATTTTGAATTTCGGGTCAAAACCCAGGGCTTTCGTTTGTGCTGGTTTGTGCAGCAAATCCCTTCGTTTGTGCTCAATCCCTTCCAAAGTTATTCGCGATTTACCCTGGGCGGTGCTGGAGACATGCTGGCACCGCCCAATTTAAATTTTGAACTCAAACCCGGGGATTTCGTTTGTGCTACGTTTGTGCCGGTTTTTGCAGCAAATCCCTTCGTTTGTGCTCAATCCCTTCCAGAGTTATTCGCGATTTACCCTGGGCGGTGCTGGAGACATGCTAATTGCAAACATTGAATATCGAATCCGGACCAAAGCCGTTTGTTTGTGCTCCGTTTGTGCAGCAAATCCCTTCGTTTGTGCTCAATCCATTCCAGAGTTATTCGCGATTTACCCTGGGCGGTGCTGGAGACATGCTAATTGCAAACATTGAATATCGAATCCGGACCAAAGCCGTTTATGCCGGTTTGAAAAGCAAATCCCTTCGTTTGTGCTCAATCCCTTCCAGAGTTATTCGCGATTTACTCTGGACGGTTCCGGGGACATGCTAATTTAGTTAATCACAGCTTAACGTTAGCGTTAAGTTAGGTTAGACCGAGCTAATGTAAGTAACATAAATTCAATTTTTGTATTACCAGCTCTTATTCAATCGATGGGACAAGATTTAAATAGTATTGCTCTACATAGAGAATCAATTCGAAGAACTAAGCATTAGCATAGAGAAAACATTGCATCACATATAAAAAGTAAATTTGACCCGTTCATTTATCTAGTTATTCATTGGGATGGGAAATGTTACCAGCATTAACAATAATGGAACATGTAAATTGTCTTGCAGTTTTAGTATCTGGAAATACTGTTTTCAAGATTTTAGGTATTCTTCAGTTATTAAAAGGTACAAGCATAATAAGTAGGTAGTGCTTGTGTTACTAGAAGAAATATTGGGACGACATTCAATAAAAATGGCTTATCAGCATATTTTTTAAATTTTTATAAGTAAAGTATTTGAACATTTAATAGGTCCAACAAGTGCATCCGATATTGCATTATCTAATAAAATTTTAAATTCCTTGTCTAACATAATTCAAAACGCATTTGAAAATGGTTTAATGTGTTAATGAATACAAGTTTTATAACTTGTGGACTAAAAATTATAAGAACTGATTTAGTTAAATTATTATTGATCAATTGACTCAGTTTTAACTTGTGACGATTATAAAAAGTTGTTATAATTAAGTGTATTTTTTCTGAGAAAAGAACTTCCAGAAAATAACAATTTACGAAAACCAGTGATTGTCATCGTGCTAAATGGATGGCTAAAATAATTTATTGTAGAAAATTTTTTTTTATTTCGTTCGAAATCTGAACTAAACAAAACAGTACCATTAAACTTAGAACATTTAAGTCTCTGTTCATAATGAGATTATATTTAAAAGTATGGTATGCTTCTAACGATGCTTCAGGTTCACCATTAAATGATTTAAATTTCTTAAAAAATCCATAAAAATATAAATATTAAAATAATTGTACCTATCTAAAAACTAGAGTTAAAAGTATTTTCTTGTCATTTGTGGTATCTTAATAATGATACATTGATTGGATTACCATTTATTTTGACTCTTGAGTAGGTATCAAATAATATTAAAGCCAAAATGGTTACAGCTTTAGATAAAATTGGGGCTGATTATCCCAAGCCCAACAAAGAATAAAGCTCCCAGTAGTACATTGTATTCTAGCCAGTGAATTGTACGACTTTGTAACAAAAAACTATTTACGGCTCTTGACATTGAAATAAAAAATTAAAAATAAAACTACGCATCAAAATACTCGGATAAGTAATAATGAATATATTGGTAGCTTTGAAAAAATTAAAAACTCAAAGTTGTTAATGGTGTAGAGTGTAGCTGAAAGGGATATAGCATTGATGACATCTTTCAATGGCACTTTTACTAATCAAGATCAAAAAAAATATCTTCTTCAAGTCGTTGAAAAACACAAACAAGACTTTCCGCCTTTCCGGAAGTTGAAAATTATGATTTATTTTTATAAATTTATAAATCTTTTGTTTAATAATAATATATATAAATATGTTTTGTGAATAAGCAGAATAAAATAAAATATTATTATTTAATACCATTGATTATTTACTCGTAAATCGTTTCCCAAATGTTATAAGTAGATACTAGATAGTTGTACTTATACACGTTATTTTAATACCTATTGAAATTTCAAATATAGAAATAATGCAAAACACTCACATTCATATCGTAAAGTATTTGGTTATTCCCACAATTAATATATTTTAGATTCTGAGCGGAGCGATGAATGTATTGATTTTACAATGATGTGTGTGTTGTTTTTTTTTTTTTTTGTGTCTGTCGCCACCTTTTGGAACAGTAAAAATGCTTCAATATTCTTAAATAGTATTTTTTCTGAGGGAAATTTAAAATGATATATCAAAGTAAAAACACATTAAAAAATTTACATCATTATTCGGAAGAAAATTAACTTAATTTAGATATTTTTGAAATAAAATTAACTTGAAGTTAACACGTTAATCTTGAAAAAAAAGCAACTTATTAAGTTAAAAGTTAATTTGAAAAAAAAAGTAACGAGTTAATTAACTTAATTAAGATTAACTTAACGTTTTAACTTAATTTTAATTTTTAACTCGTTAATGCCCAGCCTTGGATTTTGGTGTTTGTCAAATGTGGTGGGTATTAATCAACTTGTACATTTAATTTACTTGGTACAAATGAAAAACAAAAACAAGTGTAAAAATTAATTATTTTAATAGTATTTAAAATTTGAAAGTAATGTACATGAACACCGTTTGATTGCATGACGTCCAATATATTATTAACTATAACGTAGGTACTTTAATAGATGCTAATTTTAGTTGTTGCATATCATTGATGATCGATTGAAATTAACTTACCATATTTTACATTTCGACTTGGTGATTTACCACAAGCCGTCAACCATTTCAACTTCATTACGGGAGATTTGGGAAAACTATAATATCTAACATTATTACTTTTCCCTGAAGTCGTATTGTTCCTACAACCATCAACAAAATAATTAGGCATTTTCAGGCATATAATGTTAATTATTAATAAAACTATAACAATATTTTTACTACATGCATACATAAGTAGAAAACGGGTATGGTTAGGAGTTAGGACTTATCAGGTTGGGACTTGTGAATTATAATTTTTTTAAATAGCTAAATTTAGCCATGGTTATAAATTCATCAAAATAAACAAATAAAATGTTATTAGGTGCAATATTTTTATTTTTATCGAACAGGAAACAATAACATAATATGTAAATATGTAATACAATAATACAGTAATGACGAATATGTTGTACATTATACATTTTGGAATTAAGTATAATTAAAAATTATTTTTAAATACATATGTAAAATATTCAATGTATATCAATTATTTGAATTTCATTTTGAATATTGATATTTGATAACATCTGTTTTTGGCGGGAACGTGACGTCACCTTGGGCAAGTGCGCAGTGATAGTGATTCTAGAATACAGCAGAACATGCCTGTATATTTAGCCATGGTCCATTCTGATTTCATCTATTCTGTGATATAACCAACTTATTCACACAATAAATATTGTAAACATGTTATCTGTTTTGTCTTGACGGAATCAATTGGGTAAAATAAATAAAGTACATACGATTGAAACTGTGACATGCATTATATTATCCAACAACCATAAACCAACAACACATGCTTCATGTATTACAAAGTTTTACAACTGATTATTGTTATACAGTGAAACTTCCATATAACGAACTTCCATTTAACGAAATATTTTTAAGAACTATGACCTTCATTGTTAATTACACGTAAATTTATCTCCAAATAACGAATCTGATGTTTCTATATAACGAAATAATTATTCGATAAAAACCAGTTTTTGTAAATGTTGTCACTATCAAATTGATAGTTTATGTCATAGTTCTAAAATTGAATATGAACAATGTACCCGATAAAGATAAGACACCGAAGGTAGGCAAACTGATTAATTTTACTGTAGTACACTTCAGTTCCAATATTGGTGCAAACGAGTATACATTCTTTCTTCTCTTCGTCCGTACAAAAAAAATGTCAAAACGTAAATGTATATCCATCGCCAATAAATTTGAAATTTTAAACGAAGTTGATAAAGGTGTTAAAAAAAAGATATTGCCGCAAAATATAGTATTCCAACAAGTTCTCTATCAACCATTTTGAAAAAACGTGAAAACGTAACCAATCAAATGCAAAATTCTTCTCTCCTCAGCAATAAAAATAGAATGAAAATTTGTGTCTATAAAGAAGTTGACAACGCTGTTCTTAAATGGACTCGTATATCATAAACTCGGATTATACAACATCCACAGTAACCCTTCCGGGAGCTTCCTTAGGAGGGAAACCTGAATACCCTTCATCCTGGTTTGCCAACAATGCCAACTCGAAGCCACCTCTAACCGTACCCCCTGCACCAGTTGTCAATGAAGAATGGGCGAAGATGCTTGGACACGCATTATCCAATGGGTCGACACCTAGCATAGCAGTGCGATACATGTTCGAGTACATCCGCGACAAAATCAAAGCTGTCAACCCGACTCAGTGGACATCATATGAAGTCTCTATCGCCGCTCCTGCAACAGAGGTAACTCCGCTG